CTTTAAAAGCACAACTACAATGACGTGGGAAAATACCCGAACAAAGCTGAATGCCATATATATTAACAACGTAAATTTGGGGCTCAGTCGTGGTTGTAAATTGAAGACTAGCTGTATAGGCAGCCTGATAATCTTCAAAGAATTTGTGCTGATTGAAGAAGAAATTAACGAAAGCATTGGACAGGGAGGCGTGGGAACCTGTAAACTTAAATTGCAGAGTTTACAACTGGATATCTCGCATTGGGCAGCTTTTAAAGCCTCGTGTCTCTTAGCGCTGGCATCAGGAAGTAAGGGGGGGGGGGGAAATGCTGACTTCACAAACCCGGACTTAATTTATTTCACATTGTAACTTGTTTCCCTCCAGCTTTCCTTTTATGACAGGCACAGCAACAGCGGTAGAAATGCCAACTGACACCGTAGTCTGTTGAAAGTTGAACTCCGACTTGTTAAAAGAAAGGGGGGGGGCAGGGCGGGAGAGAAGGGGGAGCCGCCAGGATTAAAAACAACCCTTTAAAATGTCATTTCACAAATGTCTACACCTTGTTACAGGAAACAGGAGGCATTTTGTAGAGGAGGGTGAGCAATTGGCAACTGCTGTGTTTTCTGGGCAAAATTACGGTGCGGTTTTCACGGACTCCTCCCCAGGAAATTTGGAAAATGAGACTTGAATATTGATAATCCATTTCTTAGGAAACGGGATGCCAGGTAGTCCAGGCCAGAAACCAAAGGCCATGAATGCCAACGCAAATCTGATTTTGCAAATCTGAAAGCTCTTCTTGTCGCCTTTGCGGGAAGTCCTTGACTTACAGTGGTTCATCAGTTGACTGTTCGAAGTTACTATGGCACTGAAAAAAAGTGACTTCTGACCAGTTTTCACATTTAACGACCGTTGTAGCATCCCCCGCGGTCCCATGACCAAAACTCAAACACTTGGCCACGGACTCCTATTTATGATGGTTGCAATGTCCCAGGGTCACATGATCCCCTTTTGTGACCTTCTGGCAAGCAAAGTCATGAAGTGAAGCCAGATTCCCTTAACAAGTGTGTTACAAACTTAACCAATGGAGTGATTCGCTTAGCAACAGAAACTTTGGGCTCGATTGTGGTCATAAGTCAAGAACTACCTGTACTTCCCAGAGAATTAAGGGAGAGAAGGGCAAAGAGCAATGTTTACGTAATAAGATAACCCTTCCCTTTCCAGATTTTGTTTTAACCAAATCCTAGAAGAAATAGGGACTGGGCATATACACAGGGGGCCACTTGCATTGCATTTGGGGGTTGCGCACCTGCCCATGCTTTGGGCATTCAGCACCAAAAAGGTTAGCCATCTGTCATGCCCCCGTCAGAGTTTGAATCTGAGAGGAAGACGAACAGTTGACAGGGAGTGGGAGTGTGGCTCTGTTGGCTGTGGAGGAAACTGGGGAAGAGCAAAGTCCAGCTGGGCAGAGCAAGGAAGAGGTAGAACAAGGGACAGGGAGTTCAGAGGAAGACCCAAGCCCGCCAGTTCTTCATCCTAGGGCACGCAGAGAGGAAGGGAGGAGAGAGCAATGTGGGTTCCATGGCTAACGGAGGAGGAAAGGGCCCTGATTCCCTTCATTAGTCACAGCTGGAAAGAGAGTTTAAAAGAGATGCATGCTGAGTGCGACAGGTGCTGGGAGCAAATGTGAGTTTATCTTGTGTTGACTATCTGTGTTCCTGGTGTCTTCCCAACCGTGTTGAGTTATTGCCGTGCCTTCACGTCTAGAATTCTTGCTCCTGCCCTGCCAGACTAATTACTTCATTTTGCCTTGATTGGACTTAAAGTTTCTGTTGACCACGTTTTGGACTTGATTCTCTGCAGCCAAAGGCTGTTCCTGGGAGAGTTTTTCTCCAGCCCAGAAGGTAACCAGGACATTGGGGGGAAAGTTGGAGCTAATAAAGGAGCTCCTACTGATTATCTGATTGTGTTGCCTTTGTGCCCTGAGTCATCACAGCCATCACTGTCCTAGGTTGTGGTTTGCTGAATCCAACCGAAGAGCATGTGACTGAACTTCCGGGATGTGAACCCACATGAAACCAAACACATTTCATGCACTCCTTTAATAACATTCTTCTCTCCTTTTTGTCTCCCGATCTTAGATCAGAGTGAAGGATTCCACTGTCGAGAAGAGTGTCGGATCCTTGGCCATTCTGACCGATGCTGGATGCCCCGGAATCCTGTCCCCACCCGAGGCAAATCTCCTGAACATGGAAGGAACGTCATGTCCCTCTCTATAGGAGCTTCTACGGTCGATACGGAGCTTTACGAAGACTCTACTGCAAAGAGAACTTTTGCAACCTTTGGCAAAGACAGGAACGAAACTGTTTCTGAGGAGCGGGGCCCCATCCATGTCAAAGGCAAAAGGACACTGGATCTACCCATCTGTAGCCCAAAGGTGAACGGGGCCATCCGGGAAGCTGGGAACGGTTGTGAAGCTATCAGTCCCATCACCTCGCCTGTCCATTTGAAGAGTCCCTCGTCCGGCAAGCCATCGGTCTCCTACAGCATATTTCACTGCCCGTCCAGTCACGACTTAGAGCCGTTTGTGACCAACGGCCCCTCCAGGCCTATGGAAGCGGAGCCGAGGGGCGCGGACAGTGAGAACGCGGTGCATGAAATTAACCCTCTCCTACAGGAATGTAGGGAGAAAGACTCGCCCAGCGTGAAGAGGCTAAAGGATATTGTACTCTGAAGCGGGCCCACAGAGGGAGGGGAAAAAAAATGCCGCCACCAAACAACGTCTCACCATTTTTAAGCGCTTACGGACGGTTCACCAGGCAAAGCTGCTGTACTTAGAAGCTTTCCTTCAATGTATTGTTTATAAAAAAAAAAAAAATGAAGCGATCGTTAATGTGACAATCTCATGTGGTTTCATCAGGGGGCTAGTGAAGCAAAACGAACACCATTTTATTTCCCTTTCCCCCCTATTTCTTCTCTAGCGGGGTAAGTGATGTTGGGGCCCCTTTGGTTGACGGAAGTATTATCCGCAAAGTATTCTCCCCCCCACCCCCCGGTATTTTTCCAGATCAAGCAACCTTGGCAAGAAAATGGGTTGACCGTTGGGTCTCCCATGAATTTTTTTGGGCGGTGGTGGGGAATAATGACCTCCAACTCTGTCGTAGGCGATTTGTAATGTGATGCCCTTGATTTGGACGGGGGTAGCTGGGCGCCGGGAACTCGGTTGTGCTTATTTCAGGACCTCTTGATGTGGGCAAAGTGCCTCCCCTCCTTCATTAGGGTTCAGTGTGGGAATAAAAACCATTTGTAGTCTCTTACCCAATCCTATGGAGCTTCTGATCTGCCCTGTATCCAGAGTGAATTCATATTCTAAGATGGTGCTCTTTTGCTATGAATCACCCCTCAATCTGGAGAGCTTTCTGCTGCCACATGCTTCTCTGTACTATTATCGTATTTGATATTGCAAACTCCTATGTGTCGAGTGTTGGGGGTGGGGAGGGAAGAAACAAAAGGCTTTTCAAGTTTTTGGGTTCTTTTTTTGTTGTTGTAATTGTGCTTGTGGTTGTGTTCTATGAACAACAATCTAAGACTTGGGGAACCTGCAAAATTTAGAGTCGGCCCTGTCCCAGTTTCTGATCATTTTTGCCAGGTGGTTTTTTTTTTTTAATATCATTCTTCTTCTTCTTCTTCTTCTTCTTCTTCTTCTTCTTCTTCTTCTTCTTCTTCTTCTTCTTCTTCTTCTTCTTCTTCTTCTTCTCCTCTTCCTCCTCCTCCTCCTCCTCCTCCTCCTCCTCCTCCTCCTCCTCCTCTTCTTCTTCTTCTTCTTCTTCTTCTTCTTCTTCTTCTTCTTCTTCTTCTTCTTCTTCTTCTTCTTCTTCTTCTCCTCCTCCTCCTCCTCCTCCTCCTCCTCCTCCTCCTCCTCCTTCTCCACCTTCTCCTTCTTCTCCTTCTTCTTCTTCTTCTTCTTCTTCTCCTTCTTCTTCTTCTTCTTCTTCTTCTTCTTCTTCTTCTTCTTCTTCTTCTTCTTCTTCTTCTTCTTCTTCTTCTTCTTCTTCTTCTTCTTCTTCTTCTTCTTCTTCTTCTTCTTTCTCCATCTCGCTTGCAAAGATGCAAAGTGCTGACATTTTTACAAGGTTGACTTCGTTCTTTTTCTTTTTCTTACAACCTCAAGGAAGGAGATGATGTCATTTCTCCAAACTTTGATTTCCAGGGGTTGACCTTGCCTATCTATATATTAAACTCTTTTGGCTTATCAAGAGCTCAGAGCAATGAACTGAGCTTATAACTTAATAAGTGAGTTGAGTCCTAATATACCAGCGGTCCCCAACCTCTTTGGACCAGTGACTGGTTTTGTGGAAGATGACTTTTTCCCACGGACTGGGTATGTGTGTGTGTGTGTGGATGGTTTCGGTTTTGCTTGCTTGCCCGATGCTTACTTCCAGCTGTGAGGCCCGGTTCCTAACAGACCGCAGACAGGTACCGATCGATGGCCTGGAGGTTGGGGACCCCTGTTATACCATACATAGGTCAGCGTTCCATGAGCATCCTATTCTGAGTAATGCACTAACTACGTGTATTGTCTTGTTTGTATGTAGTGTGGGTAAGCCCAGTGGCCCAGATCATCGTACTTTCTTGCTGGGCTAAAAATCTGCCTTGAGTTTCTCAGAAGTGTTCTTTCTTTGCCAGAGATGCTTCTGTTTTACTACCTTAACTCTCAGGGTACTTGAGAATTTCCCTTGGTGGCATTTTGATCCCGGCTTTCTTGTGGAGATGGTAGAGGATGTTATGGTTAGTGCTGTTATTTTCCACGGCACCTCCTTCCATCACCCTGAAGTTCACCCTGTCCAACCATTTGAAGAGACGAGGGGGGGGGGATGGAGAGAGAGAGAGGGAGGAGAGAGGGAGAGAAGAAAGGAGAGAAAGAGGGAGAGGGAGAGAGAGAATTTCTCTCTGGCCAGCTTCCCTTGAAATTGAAGGTAAGTTAAACTGGAAGATACCTGAGATAGCAATAGCCAATAGCGTTTAGAATTATACACCGCTTCACAGTGCTTTACAGCCCTCTCCAAACAGTTTATAGAGTCAGCATATGGCCCCCAACAATCTGGGTCTTCATTTTATCCACTTCGGAAGGAGGGAAGGCTGAGTCGATTTTGAGCCAGTGGGAATCGAACTGTTGACAGTGGACAGAATTAGCCTGCAATGCTGCATTCCAACCATGGGGAATGAAGGAAGGAAAAGAAGGGCAATAGCAATAGCACTTAGACTTATATACTGCTTCATGGTGCTTTACAGCCCTCTCTAGGCTGTTTGAGTCATCCTATGGCCCCCAACAATCTGAGTCCTCATTTTACTGACCTGGGACGGATGGAAAGCCCAGTCAGCTTTGAGCTGGTAGGAATCAAACTGCTGGCAGTGGGCAGAGTTAGCCTGCTATCCTCCATTCTAACAACTGGGGAGGGAAGGAGGGAGGGAGGAAGGAAGGAAGGAAGGAAGGAAGGAAGGAAGGAGTAGCAATAGCATTTAGGCTTATATACTGTTTCACAGTGCTTTACAGACCTCTCTAAGCTGTTTACAGAGTCAGCCTCTTGCCCCCAACAATCAGGGACCTTTAAGCTAGTTCTGGATTTACAACCATTCATTTAGTGACTGTTCAAAATTATGACAGCACTGAAAAAAGGGACTCATGGCCGATTTTCACCCTTACAACCCCGTTGCAGCATTTCCTTGGTCATGTGATCAAAATTCGGATGCTTGGCAACCGGTTCATCTTTATGACAGGACCCCGGGATCCCCTTTTGCAACAAGCAAAGTTAACGGGGGAGCCAGATTCACCTAACAAACAAGCATGTTACTAACTTAACACAACCACTTAACGGTGGTGGTAAAATGAGGCAAAGCTCACTTAGCAACTGTCTCGCTGAGCAGCAGAAATTTGGCAGCTCAATTATGGTCGTAAGTCAAGGACTACTTGCAACCAGAGGTGGTGATGGAATGTAGTTGGTGGGCCTTGGCACGCATCCTTCTCCCCTTTCGCAATGAAATCCATTGTAAGGTTATCGCACATTACCCATGAAAGTTCTCCAAAATTCTCCTTGCCTTTGAAAGAAGCACGGACATCAAAGTCGTTTTCATCAAGCTGGATGAGAACTGGTAGTAACCAAATAATAATAATAATAATAATAATAATAATAATCCAGATTCCCATCTCCTCCTGGAGCAAACTGTACTACTGGCTTTCTAACGAGTTAAGAAGGGTAGCAGGTTCAAGTTGGCTACATGGACAAGACTGTTGTGGTTTTTGCAGGTGTTTATACATTACTGTTTCCCCACCAACTTCTCCCACTTCTACTTGTATGGGCCCAGTTCAGTTGATCCCTCATTTCTTCCAAATGTCCATAGTGGAGGCAGTTTGAGAGGTCTAAATTATTTTCTCAGAAACATGGTTGTAATTAATCATGAAAGGTTCCCTCTGGCTTCAAAAACACATCTCTCTGGCTTTGTTGCAGAATTTTCTGATCTTCAGATACAAGAGGTATGCTTCTTTCTCTCTTTCTCTCTCTCTTTCTCATTCTCTCTGAGGTTATCCTCAGATTCCTGCTGGTGGAGTTTGAGAGTACATAACAGAAAGGAAGGAAGCTCCACCCAGCCTTTAGTGCACCTGCCCTAATTTAAAAGCATACAACTACAGGTTAGTAATTTCCGAAGAAATTAATCAGGGAGAGCGGTTTGGTTTAATCCTAATACCAGCGGTCAACTGCTGGAAAGACAAGTTACAGATGTAATTTCAGGACAAGCATTATTCAGATTCAGATAATCAGAGTTGGAAGGGACCTTATAAGTCATCTAGCCCAACCCCCCGCCCAAACGGGAGATCCTGCACCATTTCTGACAGATGGGAGACCCAATCTCTTCTTGAAAGTCTCAAGTGATGAAGCTCCCACAAATTCTGTTCCATGGGTTGATTGTTCTCACTGTCAGAAACGTTCTCCTTATTTCCAGGTTAAATCTCTCCTTGTTCAGTTTCCATCCATTATTCCTACAGGCGCTTTAGAAAATAGCTTGACTCTTTCCTCTCTGTGGCAGCCCCTCAAATATTGGAAGAGGCAACCATTAAGCAACCATTAAAATGCCCAGCCCATTTCCATTGCGTGTGTTTCAGACAATCCATTCATCCTGCATCAGGTTGAAGATTTAGGGAACAAAATAGCCATTGGAAAGGGAGAACAATTTCCAGGATGATCCCCTTGTTAAAGGGAGTACCAAAAATGAATATATTTGTGTGTTTTTGTGCACGGGTGTGGCCTTGTCAACTTCAGCATTAATTACATTTCATACCTGGATTTAGGAATAGGATAAATTAGTTATCTTCAACCCATCCCTGCTCTGAAGTAAGACTGTCATGTTCTTGAGAGTTTTATTCTGCTAATGATGCGCTTTAATCCCAAGCTAAAAGGAATGAAGGTATTGTCAATGAAGCCATTGTATAAAGAGATCAGCAAACCCTTTAGTGTCTCCTTAAATATGCACATGTAATGTTTGTGACTTTGTCCTCTCCCGAAAAACAAAATGAAAATTTCTTTTCAACTTTGTCAAGAAATATTTTATTTACAAAAAAAAGAGGGAGAAATTTAAACAGGGATAGGGATAACAATGTAGGAAGCATAGCGATAAAACGGATATGACATTTTTGTCATTGATCCTTCCTTCTCCTATTAGTGTTTTTCTGTTCCCAGCTTGCTTAAGAGAGACTAAAGATCAGTGCGGTAGAAAGATATATTGGGTTCTTTCAAATATTTGCTCTGTCAATCAAAGGGGGAAAAAAGGTGTCCTGTGGGGACAACTCATGGCCTTTCTGTAGCTTTATTTTTTATTTTTTAAAAGGAAAGTTCTCCACATTTATTTAATTTTAAAAAAA